TAGTTTTAGAACTATAAAAACTAATTATTATTATGTATATATATATACTCGAAGAATATCAATATTATTATGTATTTATCTGAATAAAAAAACATGATTTTCATTGAATTAAACTATAAAACCAGACAGGGAAATGCGTAATTCCGATAGAAAACACATCTGTATATTGTTTTGTTGTAGAAAATACAGAGTCAATATTTAAAGCACTTTTATCATATTTTTTTAACTCACAATATCATGAATATGTGTGAGTGTTCTAGCAAGTTCTGTATCTTATTCATTTTAAAACTAGTGGAACATATTTATCCCATTTTTTAAAATAGTTTCTTTTCTAACTGTGCAATAAATAAAAGCACAGATGAAGTCATATTTATAGTTCTGCAAAATGTTCACTATTATAATCGAATACTAATTGAGTAAGAACTTTTGCTTGTGATTCATTATCATTCTCACGATTTGATATTCGATAATTATATAACATATCATTGCGATTCCTGCATAAACAATTTGTAAGATAATTGATACACGAACAATTAATAATGATGAATAGCTATAGATAACCAAAAATCCAAGATTTGTTATCATGGAAAATATGGAAAAAGCCATTTCTTTTGTATCGACAAATAAATGACTGTATAAAGCTAAATTAAAAAGAAAATTCTTGGATTTATATATACATCTCATCTTTATTTATGAAACGACTGATCCTATTGATTAACTATTTTTAGTAACTGTCAAAAATGTGAGTCAGATCGCATATATGATATCTAAGAGAACCAAAACGATTTTAGCGAATGTTCTATAGAGTATTTAACTGTTTTAGAAAAGGAATGAAAATAGTAAATAATATTGATCCATTTTAATTCGTGTAATGATTATTTAATATTCTATCTTTTTTTTTGTCGATGTGTGTGCAATATTTAAAAAATAACAAACCTGAAATAAGCGGTTTTGGAACTGCAGCTGAAAAACCTGCTATACATGCAAGAATGTAAAGCACGTATGTTTGAGAAGGAATTAGTTTCCATATAAGAGTTATCACCAATGTTATAACGGACAAAGATATTGCACTTAACATACATACTGGAAATACAACCTGTAATACCATATGAAACCATAACAAGGCCTAAAAAGTAAATAATCATGATTATTTTGATCAGTAAATTTGATTCTTACCAATATATTGAATACCGATAGTACATGTAATACAACTCTAAAATAAGATCGATTAGAATCATATGAACGTATGTAATTATGTTTTATGAAATAGAAGAATCTCAACAGTTAAAATTATTAAAAATGTAATACCCTCGTATAAATTGCAAAAATGAACGCATCCCATGTATCCATTCAGAAATTTGCAGGAATTAATAGTAATTGATCTAGTTTTTTAAATTGTTTCAATGTTAATAATGAATAATCTATAGATTGACGTATTATTCCTTTCGAATCATCACCTATAACAACACAGACAATCAAATAATATACAAAATACATCTTAAATTACCTTTAAGTTTACGTTTTTGATTAAGAAAAATAACAACAGATATGATAGATATAAAAATAATACCAACTAACACATTATACAGTATATATGTATACAAAAAAGAGAGTTTATTAACAAATATGTACTCTTATTTTATTTCTACATATTCTCATAGGTGAAATAGTACTTTTAACATGTTTTGGTTCGCTTATGCTAGGTACAAAATAATATTACCAGTGTGAAGTACTGAATTGAAAATTCCAAAATATTTGTTCACTTGAATATCTGAATTATTGCCACCAAATACAAACATATGTTTAACAGTGGATTTATTTGAAATATACTTACCTGGATATAACAGTACTGCTTTTGGATACATATTAGCAGCAGTATAGATAAGTATACCGATTTGTCCAGCTATAATCGCCCATTTATATCCCAACATATAGATCAATGAAATAGTAAAAACAAAACAAGATAGCATTGAACTACCAGAAAGTATTGCTAAACAAACCATAGCAAGATTCCGTTTTTTATCACCATGTTTTTTGTTTGATTTGTCCCCTTTTTGTTCATTATCGTTTAATATTTGAGGCATTTTATCTACAATATTATATCACCGGAAAATAAATCCTATTGTAATAAATCGAGAGAAGAAACGAATTAGTACACAGCTTTGAAATGCTACTAAACTTACCTTACACTCTCAATAATATAGACCAACGGTTACTTTTCTCTATCCATTGTTATATTTTTAATAATCATTGAAGCAAATAACAAGATTCGATGAATAATGACTAACACATCATTTCTGTTTATTTTCCGATTCTTTTGTTATACATGCTTGTCGAAAATCGTCTGTGATCAAAACTGATACTAGATGGTGAAAAAACACAGCAATTAAAGAGTAAAACATCTGTTATTTGATAATCTTATTTGTTGACACAAAATCTCTTATTCCAGATGAACTGTTTTATACATACTAAAAAACAGATATCGGTGTTGATGACGTCTATTTTTGTATATTTTTTAAAATGGCAACACATTAATTCAGTATTAGATATGCTTTTCTATTTGAGATTAAACTGAATAGGAATGCAATTGCAATGAAGTTATATATAAATTTATTTCTATTATTACATGAAGTACCATGTGCATTTTCTTTCATTTAGATAATTTTAATTCTTATGATACAGTAACTTTGTGATCAACATAATTTCATTCCGAAAACTGATGAAGTTAAAAGTAAATAGTTTATATTTTTCAATTATTTTAATGTTGATGTACTGAGAGGTATACACTTATTATCATTATTCGAACGATTTCTATTGACCTTGGAAAATTGTTTCACATTTAGTTGAATTATTTTTTGAGCTCTCTGATATAGAGTTCGTAAAATGAAATAAGCTATTATTATTACTCTAAATTGGGTCTTTAAGTTACCAATAATAAGGATTTTTGTCTATTTATATATAGTAAAATTTTACTAGTCTGATATACAGAATAAAAAATATTAAAGTATTTATTGTAAGAAATATCCAATATATCTAGTGATATACATACTGGTATATTCCCTCTGAGCACGTTGGAACATTCCTTGTGTTCTTCTATTATATATACATATGGTTCTTTCCTTTCCTCTCATCTAGGTATGGAATTATTCCTTATCGTGATCCTATATACATGTACATACACACATACGTATATGTATCGTATTCATACCGTTCTCTTCTCTTCTTCTTGTTATCTCTATGGTTCTTGTTTTTGTTGTTGTTGTATCTTGAATGAGGTGTGTTCAATAATCTCACTTTCGTCGCCAATGTAAGTTTGTGTAGAACCGTAGGTTCAATGTTTATTGTAGAACAACAAGAACAAGAACGATAGAGAGAACAAGAAGAAGAGAAGAAAACGGGATGAATACGACACATATAGGTATGTGTGCGTGTACATGTATATAGGATCACAATAAGGAATGATTCCATACTATCTTGAGGGTGGGTGTGAGTGAGGACTAATGTTTTCTTTATCCACACTCACACCCTCAAGATTTCTTTTCTCAGAATACCATTGAATGAAACTATGAAGACCAACTGTTTATTATAATCATAATAAAAAATATTAGTATCAATTGTGAATTGTATTCAAACTAACCGGGGCGTCAATAACTTAAAATATCGAAAAAACAGTTTCATATCTCAGTTTAGTTTGAATTAAAGTAAACAGTGGCATCCATGCTGAGCATCTGTAGTTTGTTATTGAATAATAGTAGATGACTGATTGTTCACGGCACATGATTGTATAATAACAGTCGGCAACTAATAATATACAGGAGAGTTTGTTGATATTTCAAGTTACTTTAATTCAAACCAAATTGAAAAAATATTTTATTTTATGTTCGCAAAATGAATATTTGAACACCATTTCATGTTCACTTTTGATCAGAAAGAATCTGCTCTTCAAAAAAAGGTTAGATGGGTGTGAATTAATAGAAAACGGTTGCTTATTACTCTAACAAAAGCAGACAAGTTGTATAAGAACCGAAAATATAGACTTATGCAAATAATCATTTTCTTTTTTTGTTTTGTTTTTCTAAACAGAATTGAGTCATAAGAAAAGAAAGTAGACATAGAGACTTGAAAATAGAAAATGGTGTCTATTACTTTTGCAGGAAAGTATCAGACTTTTTATATTATGTTCTGAAATGTGACACTCAGTAGTGTTGAATTTGGTATTAAAATATTAAACAACGACAGAATGTCGAAAACTATCAAAATATTGCAAAATAATGTACTTTTTATATTTTGAGACACAAAAATTCGAATCTTAGCTCTTATGTGATCGATTATCGATGTGTTGAGAACAGCATTTTTTGAAAACATCTTGTCATGTTCATCGAACATGATATACGCTCTTCCCTCTTTCTTACACGCATACATCCCACTCAATCGCCCATATATTTTTGATGTTTTATATATTTCATATTGTGCTCTTCTTCGTTCTATACTATATACACATTCTTTCTTCGTTTTATCTTTCATAATATAGCTTTACGCGAGATGATATGTGCTCATGGTATGCTTCACTTTCTATTGTTTTTGCATTCATATTCGTTCGTTCTCTTGTTGTTCTTTTCGATTCATATCCATTCGTTTTTTTTGTTTGTTGGAATATACACGATGAGATACACGTCACAACTGATATCAAAAGCAATGACCCTAGTAAACACTTGAAAGTCAGTTTCACAGAAGAAATGTAAAAGTATAATGAGTATGAATATGAGGATTGAGAATCGTTCGGAATCGGAATGAGTGAGTGTACGGATATTAATATGAAGCTGAACGATTATCGTCTGTTTACCACCATCTGCAACCTAACTCACACCCTTTATATCCATATCTTCATTTTTTCTTTCACATTGTACGTTATAGATTTTTGTTTTAATCAATTATTATACTTCATTTTTACTGTTACTATAAATGGCAACATCGTTGGCTGGACGTTATTTACTTTCGTTTACGACATTTCTTACTCTTGCCTGGCTGTGTACTTGCGCTGTATTGCCTTAGTATGTTAATATTTTACTTTAATTATTTTAAATAAAAGTTTTTAAATTACAGCTGGAAAGCGTTTCAACCAGTCGATAAAATCGATTTAGGTGGCTTTGGCAAAACGTTTCCAACAATACAGGGTTTTTTTAATAAAGCAACTGAATTCTTTTCTATTGATATTGGCATCGTTTATTCGTGTTTTAATGGTCAGACTTGCGTTCTAAATAGAGACATAAAACAAATACCATTCGTCCGGTTACCCGAAGACAAACACGCTGCTGTGCTTGGTTTTGGTTTATCACTTTTGGCAATAAGTTTAATGTGAGCATTAATTTTCTCTATAAAAAGATAAGCAGATTATCTTTCTTTTGATTTATAGTTTCTCAGCTTCTATCACATGCTGTCCGTGCACTTGTTCATTTCTTTTATTCACAAGTTTCATTGGCTCGAGTTTTGTTGTACTAGTAGTTGGCATTTGGATGGTATTTTCTGAAATACAATCGTTCAATGGGTGGGCTTCATATGGGTTTATTGTCGGTACCTTTTTAGTATTTATTTTGTTCATATTAAGTTTTATTGAGTGGAAAAAATACGAGAGACAGAAAAGATTCCGTACTCCTTTGGGTCTTGTAGTCAGTCACTCGGCAATACCTACGAACGCACAAAATACGCACAGATTGCCTTAAAATCAGTTTACGGAGGAAAAAACTCTACAGTATTTTTGCTATACATTAACTAAATAGACTAACTTTCTCACTATTAATTAAGAATGCTTGAAGATCATATTCATAACTAATGACACAAATTACTTTCTAACAGTATTACATCTGACATAAGCCACAATTTGCAGTCTTTACTTAGTTATCCCAAAAATTATACATCATAAAAATATTGATTTTTGTTTAGTTTTGATTATCAGTATAAAAATATTGTGTCGTTTGTAATTTTAATATAAAATATAAGCATTCTCATCTTTGTGATGAAAAGTCAATCTATTTGATAATAGTAAGGTGGATATACTCAGGTGTATTTTTTCTCCGAAAACTGATTTTAAGTCATTTTCTGTTTTGTTCAATTATGATTTTTTATTGTGTATTGATTTTCTTTGTAATATCTTTTTGTTTTATCATGTCTGTGTGCGTTAACAATTGTTCTATCTCAATAAACTTTATTTAAACCTAGAAGAAGAAGAAGAGTTGTCATAATTTAAACATGAAATGGTGATGGTATGAATGAGAGGGTGCATGTGAGTTACAAGATACATATTCACACCCATATCTATGCTTACATCATTGAAATCTATCAAAAACTCGTCCACGTGATTATTCTAATGTAGCTACTTCTTATAATAATATTAAACGAGTGCATTCGAACACAGATGAATACTTCATAACGTTTTAGTATTTATGAAAAATTACTCGAAATCAATCAAAACAACTCTTCGTTTCAATCATGCTAGTTTAACCTGTTAAGGGTGGGTGTGGGTGTGAGTGTTGATAATGATGATGATGAAATGAATAACCATACTCACACCCACACTCTCAACTGAATAAAAGATGAATAAAATCTAAAAATTTGAAAAAAGTTTTATATATCTAAAATATTTCTTATATGTACTTTCGTAATAATTGAAATATTGAGTGCTCTCTCGGTTTATGATTATTAATTGACCATCCATATGGTGTTGACTATTCATTTTTTGGTTGAATTATTCCAATAAAAGCTTTTGACAATGAGAATTTTTTAAATAATAATTGCATATGATATATCTCATTTGAATAGATTTCATTAAAACGAAATAAACTAGTAAGAGACTCTTGACCATTGTGTTCTGCTACATGTTCATTTTCAAATAGTTGAATTGATCCATTAATATCACTGCATTTTGTATGTGGAAATAATTTATTTCGAATGATAAGAATTAATGAAATATATATTTGAAATCTTGTAGATTTTAGCGAATGATTGAATTTATTAACTGACTATAGATTTTTTTTTCAATTGTTCCATTCATTTATCAAGATCTTTTTCTGAATAACTAGAAATAATGAAATGAGAATTTTATTATTCATTTAAGACAAAACATTTTTCTATTACATTACTTTGGTTTTTATCTATTTTGAATTTAATATCATTAATTTCTTTTTTTATATATTTCCCATTGAAAATCATTGAAAGTTTGTTTATTATTACCTAAAAAATATCATGCACTATATTATATTCATTAATAAAACATTCAAAAGAATTACGAAGTTCATTTGAATGATCTTCAATATGATTTGAACAAAACTCAGAGCGACAACCTATGTAAATCAAAGATTCATGAGAATTTTCTCACATTTTCAATGAGAACAAACGTACAGAGATATGAATCAAAATTACTTTGAATTTATGCAAAAGTATTGCTCTGGTAGATCAGTGTTACTACCAATCCGCAAAGATGAAGAAATAATGAGAGACAATATACAAACACAATGAAATAGAATAATCATATTATTTCTTTATTTCTTACGACTTTTTTTACTGCTTCGTTCTTCTCGATCATCTGCATTACCACGTTTAGACGATGAAGCTGAATCACTTGCACCACCATGTCGTACATCTTTTAAGAAATCCCTTAAACTAAATAAATCTTCTTCATGTTGAAATTGAATAGGACCATTACGTGCTGCTGCGTGATTAGCTCCTTTGAAGCCTTTTTCTTTTTCGAATCGTGTCGTAGCATTAGCTAAAGCTTCAGTATCCTCAAATTTATCTTTTGATGTTTTAGATGGTTTATAAATTTGAGAGGCAACAGCTGTTGACGAATTCCATGGTCGATCATATACATTATTAGCTCCATCATCATTGAAACCACTATTGAAACCTGCTGACATATTGAATAGACGTTGATCATATTGAATACCTGTATGAATTGCACTTTGTACACCCAATGCAATTTTTTCACTAACATCACGTTGTTTTGGACGATTTTTTTTATTGCTTCCAGCTCGTCGAAGAGCAGCAGCACGCCGTCGTTCTTTTTTTCTTTCTTGTCGAATTTGATCACGTTCAGCACTTTGCTCAGCACCTTTGCCAGCAAGGCAAATTCCTGCATGATCTATTCGAGCACGAACAGCCAATTTACGTAATCGTTCTTCTTTATCATCTTTTTGTTTTTTAGCTATTTGTTTTTCAACTTTAGCACGCATTTCTACAGCTTCATGAGCCTTTGAATTGGCTGTATACAAAGCTTCAGCAAGCTTAGCAAAATTTTCATTGATATATGTACTTTGAAGACCACGACCATCAGCTGCTAAACGTTTATCAAGTGGAATTGTATAACCTTTGCTATTTTTCCAATTCGATATACATGTTGGAATCTTCCAATTTTGTTGCTCTTTAACAGTGACTTTTCGTATTGGTGAATGTAGAATTGGAGCAAGACGACTTGGAGGTCCACGTGGAATTTTCTTATTGATTTTGAATCGAGATGGTTCCATAGGATCTTTTTGAACTTCAACCATTTGAATGATACGTTGTTTGGCACCAGAATTAAATGCTGGTCCTTGTTGTGAGGGTGTATAACGAATATACTGAACAGGTAGAGCAGCTGATACTTTAGATGATACAAGTGCTTCGAGTGCTTGACATGTTTTTTCTTCTAATTCTTCTTCACTTGATTTCTGTATAAGTTGTAATAAGCAATTTTTCTTGATAGTGTGCGGAGCACGACATCTAGCTTGTCTGTCTATATGTCTCATCGAGAGGATATAGAAAAGAAAAGTGTTAATGTAATATCATAGGTGAGGATTGAAAGATAATATATAGGAGAAAATGATGAAATCTATCTTGGATATATCCAGAATACATAGATAGTACATGACGTAAGATGTGACTAGATCATGACATAATAGGATGACGCAATGACATATAAGAAAGAGAAAAGAAATGAAAAAGGATCATTCCGTGAGAAAAGTAATGAAGGTAAAGGCAAGGTAGATATCGTGCTCCACACACTATCGAAAGAAGTTGTTTATTACAGTTTACGAAGAGATCTTACTTTTATTTTCAGTTTAAAATGTTAGACTTTTTTTACATTCTTACCAAAGGTGGTCTTGTTTTATGGTGTATACCATCATTAGCTACCGAATTTACTACAATTGTTAATCATGCGATTGATAAAGCTGTCTTACAAGGCCAAGGTAATTTACAAAAATGGCTTACACCATCAAGCTCTCATCAAATTCATTACAAATTAGATAATGAATATCACCTTGTTTTTATTCTTGGTTATCAAAAAACATTAAATATATCGTATGCTGATAAATTTTTGGATGAAATACAAAAACGTTTTCGTGATCAATATAAAGAAGATTTAACGAGAGGGGGTTTTAGTCGATCATTTCTATTTCGTGCTACATACGAAGACGTTCTTTTTGAAGTTGAACATTCTGAAGAAGATGTTAAAAAAACTAATCGCCGGCCTCGTTCCTATGAAGAGTCTGATAAAAAACAAAAAACAATTAAGATAGTAACAAAAGAAGGTAATGTAGCTACAGATGAAAATAAAAAACCCAAAGTAAATGCACCATCAAATAAACAATCGAAAATTGCCGTATCAAAATCAAAAGCATCGAAAAGTAAAGAAAACCAAATGACAACTCCTCCAAATGCAAGTAAAATTGATTATTCGAAAGATGCAGATGCTGAAAAAGTCGAAACTAAACGAGTAACAACCAACGCTCCAGTTACTACTCGACCTGAACAAGGAGATTTAGAGGTCATGGTTGTTGAAGCATCGAGTATCACATCTGGTTTAGTCGATGGTTTTTGGTCAAAATTAAAAAAAGTCAATATTTTTGCATCAAAAACATTAACAGCTGAAGATTTACGTACAGGCTTTGATACAATGCGTGAGCATCTTGTATCAAAAAATGTTGCTTCTGATGTAGCTGAAAAAATTTGTGAATCTGTTTCAAGTAAATTAACTGGAAAAACATTAGGTTCATTTGAAAGTCTTACAACAAATATTCGTCAAGCAATGCGAGATACATTAGTTATGATTTTAACACCTCAACGACGTATTGATATTCTTCGAGATGTTGTTGATGCACAAAAAGCATGTCGTCCATATACTATTACATTTTGTGGTGTTAATGGTGTTGGTAAATCAACAAATTTAGCTAAAGTTGCTTATTGGCTTACTGGAAATGATTTACGTGTTTTAATTGCTGGTTGTGATACATTTCGTGCTGGTGCAATTGAACAATTGAAAACACATGTTGCCCGTTTAAATAATATCTTTAATGAAAAAGAATTACCAATGATAGAATTATATGAACGTGGTTATGGAAAAGATGCAGCTGGTATTGCTGCTCAAGCAATTAATTATGCGAAGCTAAATAAATTTGATGTTGTTTTAATTGATACAGCTGGTCGAATGCAAAATGATGAACCATTAATGACTGCATTAGCTAAATTAATTCATGTTAATAATCCGGATTTAGTTTTATTTGTTGGTGAAGCATTAGTTGGAAATGAAGCTGTTGATCAAATAATTAAATTTAATCAAGCACTTATTGATCATGCACATTTACAAAGTAATCCACACGTTATTGATGGTATTGTTTTAACTAAATTTGATACAATTGATGATAAAGTTGGAGCTGCTATTTCAATGACGTACACAACTGACAAACCAATTGTTTTTGTTGGTATTGGACAACAATATCAAGATCTTAAAACAATTAATGCGGATGTTGTTACTGAAGCTCTTTTAAAATAAGCAACCATAATTATAAAATAAACTTGATAATGAGATTTTTTTTTATTTTTATTTTCTCTGAGTGCCATATATGCCTTCTTTATTAATATATTTTCTCATTGTCTTATTCTCGATTGCTATTGCTGTTGCAATAAACTTTCTTTTTACATTTAAAATCAAAAAAAAATCTTCTGATCAAATATATGTTGCGATGACGAAATTGTGCGAATTGGTAGTAACACTAGTCTACCAGAGCAACATTATTTAATAAAATACTATATAAAATCATTCGTTCTATACTTGATTATTCTGAGTAGATGACAACAATAAACAAAATAGTACAGAATGAAAGAATTTGTATTCATTAAATTTTATATCAGAATAATATTTCAATTTTGTTTGATAGATATGGTAATAATAAACTATTGCGAAGATAATTGAAATCAATTTAGTTTTGACTGATAGTGAAGAAAATCAAAATGAATTCATTTAGTAAGAAAAATAGCACCATAGAAATTGATTGAATTACATTGCCGTGTCATTTCAAATTCTTTTTATATTCAGATATCTATCTGTGCGCGACGAAACTAATACTATAAACTCACTATAAGGTGATACATGATGAATAAACAGTCTATAATATACAAATACAGCTATAGATAATTGAAATCTTTGAACATTTATAAAACTTTTTACACTTCATAATTCTAAAAATAAAGGTTCTACTCAGATAAAATAATATATATTCGACATCTTTTCATATTGGTCTTTCTTGCATAAAATAAACTGATAGATTCGCAAATATTAATGCTACACTATAAAATGTCTAGATTAATCCGCTTTATCAGTCTTGTCACAATAATTGTTTGTTTTAAATTCGATTAATATAAAATAACTTCGACAAAATCATGTCAATAGCTCACATAATATGCATATAGGGATGAAAAAGAAAAATCTCTCTTCTTCATCTTAATGAATCGTCAAGAGATTCATTTTCAGTAATAAGTTTAGATTATAGCGTTTCACTGATTTATAAACTAATATTTAAATTATTCTTTGGCTATTAATTCGGTTATTGAAAAAAAATACTCATGTGAAAATTAAAATAGTTACATTATTAACAATTTTGATATTATTAATGGAGATATGTTTTGATCAAGTATGTATTTTTTGAATGAGAAAAGAGTAAACAAGGAATGAAACATTAGTATTCGGGCAGAACTGTTTGTTATCCGTTCAGATTAGTTTTTTATACATCAGAATAATAAATATAATTAAGAATATAGATCAACCGATGATTAATATTCAATGTAAACAAAGAATGAATTGTAATTATTCTAGTTTCATCACCTTTACTAACTATAAGTAATTGAAGATAAAATGACATTTAAATATTACAGAATTTAGTAAAACACTATTGTTAGATACATTCTCTTGAGGGTGTGGGTGTCACTATGGATACGAGATTAGTATATGTAACCCATACCCACAACCACCGCACGCCTTCAAGATGGTTTTCTACGAACAGCCAAATGGATCAACATCGTGACTAGTCTCAATACATCCACCTCTACGTAAGTTTTATTGCATGTGTCTCCTCTTGTGATATTCTTTTTATTATATAAATATATATATATATTTTATTTTGTCAATTATAGTTCACAAAAGTATTTATATCAAAAGAATATTTCGTTATAAAGACAGAACGAAAAAAAAAGTATTGGCAGAGAAGGATCTTAACGTTGAACCAATATATTAGTTTAATGTTACGATGCTTCTCTGCTAGTAATTTTTCTCGTTCTGTCTTTAGGTTATATATAGAGATGGTGTCCCTACTATATACTTTTACCTCTCTTTTTTGTTCAGGTTCAAACAGAGTTCACCCTTTATGTACATTTTAAACGATTTTTCTTTCCATTCAACCAACACACGGAATAAGAAAAAGAAATATTTTTTCTTCTCTCTCGTCTGCTTAGTTACTTAATCTTTCGTCATTTTGAATTCATTTGTGCTCTATTTTGTTTACGGAGTACCGCTCAAAATTTGCTGGTAACTTCATTTTTACCGATAATAAGGATTAAAGTATGTTAATTATATTTAATGTGTAGATATCTGAAGTAGATAAACTTCTTTTCTATAGAAAATCTTTCTAAATGAGAGAGGGAACACAGCATATATTATATCATTAGTAATCACGAGTTTTTGTACAAAGAATTTTGATGCTTACCACATCAGTGTGTACATGATATGTACGATGCAGATGAAAATCTATATACTAATGTTGAGTGTGTGTGTGTGTGTGTCTTACCGGATCAAGGGTCAAAAGCATGCATTGCAGCGTTCTGATTTTTCCTGTGGAAGACGTCCTATCTAAATAATTTTGAGGGTGTGGATGTGGCTATGGATGCTACATATATGTGTTACCCACCACATCCACACCCTGACTTAGATCTTCTATCTTAAATAAGAAAATGAGAGAGAGTGAATGGAAGTGAGGTATAAAAGGATGAGCAAAAAAAGTAAATAGACAGACACTTTTCTCTGAACAATCAAATGGATCAACATCGTAACTAGTCTCAATACATTTATCTCTACGTATGTTTTGTTGCATGTGTCTCCTTTTATGCTATTCTTCTTATTATATATTATTCTTTGTGGTGGGATTAATTCATCATTTAATATAACCCAAATATTTCGTTATAAACGGTTGTACGAATGTACATAAAATAAGATTTTTTTTTCTATTTCATTATAGATGTCATCAAAATTCTTTATTTCTGTCATCTTTTTCTTCGAGTTCATATCAATTTGGTGCGGTTGTAATGGAGGTCATTTCGATGCCAGCGGTTACCTAAACGTTACTGGTCAAATTCCATGTGCAACGTTCTCCCGAACAACTTCTTTGTATGCGACCGACATTAATATGACGTTGACGGTTTGTCAAGGTATACTTAATAATTGGCAGCTAGGGGTATCACAAGTAATAAATGGTAGTACCAATGTCGATTCAACTAATCGATGTATCGCTTTTGGTGTGTTGACCACATTTTTGAAACAATATCCAATAATAAACAGTCAAGAGACTGGAAATGGTGGTTGTGATGCAATCTTCGGAAGTGAATGCTCACAAAGTATTCGTAAATCATTACAACAATCTTTTGATGATATTAATAGTATAGGTTGTGGAGTTCAAACTCTACACATTTTTACAGATCCTCCCACAGGATGTCGATTTCTAGACCATGAAATGAGTACGGTCTTAAAATTTACATTACGGAAAAATGGTTCGATCGAGGGTATTATTTCACCAACAGCAAATTCAGAAAAATGGATGGACTCGGAAGACTTTCCAACCGCCCTACGTAACGATGATGATCCGTCGAAAGCTTTTGTTTTTACATATTTCGTGGGACGTTCTTATTCTTCAGACATTGTCGACAGTGCTATTGCATGTTTTCCTATTTATAACGTAACTGTAGCACCAAAAACAACAGTACTACCTAGCGATATAGCGACACAACTTTTTGTCTCTGGAAGATTTTTAATTTCCTTATCATTATTACACTTCTTTTCTCAATTTATGAGATATTTACCATGATTGACTGAGAATTGATGTATAACTTGGACTTTACATGGACTTAGAAAAAAACGCTGTTAGCGTCAAGTGCTGTTACTTACATGACACTAGCTTAGTATATGTGTGTTTTCTTTTTCGTTCCGTCGCTTCATTCTATCCAGGGTGTGGATGTGAGTGAAAGGGTGTAGATTGCGCTGTAAAAGCTGTGATTTTTATCAACTATGTATGTCGGATTTTCTTTTTTTTACATTTTACTTTTTGATGTTTCTCGTTTTCGATATTTTTTTTTTCGACGTTATACATTAGAATCGAATAATGACTAATATATTTTCATTATGAATTTCTTATGTGGTTCCCGTATACCGCAGGAAACGGGAGTAGACCAAACTCAACAGCACTGTAGCATCGAGATGATACGTGACACAGGCTCGAGTGAACTCGAATGATCCTGGCTGATGTCCAACAGTCCGCTTGAAAGAGCCTGATCCCAATGAGATCAGTTCTAGTTTTCAAACCGACGAGAACAGATACTACACTTTAATCTTAGCCGAAAAGGCCGAGAAGCGATAACTAAATAGACAAATTCAAGTGCCTTATCTTTCCTATGTCCACACACATTGATAATCTTTCAAGTATTATATCATCAATTCTATTCAAAGATCTTTAATCATTAAAATTTAGCTTACACAAAGATTATGTAAAACATCAATGTCATTATTCATTTTTCCGAGAAAGAATCTATTTTGTTTCTAATAAAAAAAAGTGTTCCTCTGACACACTAATGTGTTACCACTAATCCGCACAATTTCACCATCGTAACATGTACCTGATCATATGATAACTTTTTTCGTGTATAAGATTCGTTTTTATATGATATAGCAAAACTACAGGCAACAACAACAAGAAAAAAATATAAGTAAAATTGATCATTGTAGTATCAGAAATATTTTTTTGTTTTGTACAAATAGTTATTCTTTATATTTCATGTAAAACATTTAGACGAGCCTCTAAACGAGCATCAACTGTAGATATTGCTTGTGGTGCATGAGGTATCTGATTAGCCACATCTATATTAAATTCATCAATTACTTGATTAACAAGTTCTTCAGTTGCGTCCTCGTCGTCTTCTCCTTCGAATACAGAATCCATTGCATCATTCATCATTTCTTGTTTAGTATTATTTGCTGTCATATTTTGATCAAACATTTGTATTGTATTTTGAAAATCTTGTAATGGCATCATTCGATTTAATCGTGTTAATGTTTTTGTTGTTTTAACCATAAAATTAGCTATTGTCATTTGAACATTCATTGATGATGCTTCAGATTCAAGTGTTGATAATATTGTATCCAATTAATCAATTTAATTTCGTTGATTAACAATATTTTTTGCATATGTTCATAATGCTTTTTGTTCACCTTTAGCAGCTAATTTACGTATTTCATTTTCATTACGTGTCTTTTCATTATTTAAACGAGTTTTTTCTCTTTTAGTGTATTCATTATTCAAGAATATTAATAATCTGTTGAAGTTGTTAAGAAATGAATTTCTTGGTAAGTTGTTATAAGTATAAGAAAGAGATGCACGGTGACTATGAATAATAGTAATAGCTTTAAATGAGTGATGTTCCATATACACATGTCTGATAACCTTACTTCTCCTGTTCTCCATTCTATCTGTGTGTTTAGTACAATCCGTTGAATCTTTCTCTTGGTGAAATTGCATCACTCTGTCATGTTTATTTTTTATCTTGTTTCTTCTTCCTTTCTCTTACTTTCACAAATTGCTTCAAGTTTGTTAGCTCAACAACCCCTTTAGAACTAACATGGTCAGAAGGTCTTATCACGCCAACAAAAGTAAATAAAGAGAAAGGTGACATGTGTAAAGATAAGGTGGATATTGTGCTGCACACACCATCGAGAAACGTCGCTTATTACAACTTACCAAGAGATTGTTTCATTAATTTATTTTTTATTCAATGAATACATTAGAAAGTCAAAATGATCGGGTGGCAGAAGAATTAGCTACTAAAGTCGCTCGAATGAAAGATCTTGCATTCCAAATTGATATGAAATAAAAGAACGTAGTCGATTTCTTGACACAATCAGCTTTGAATTTGAAACAGCACGTAGTTTTCTTCGTCGTGGTCCTCGTCATATCCGTGATGTTATGCAGTATAGTGGACCTGTTGATCCTCGTGCAATATTTTATATTATTGGTGCTATTGTTTGTGCTCTTCTTTTTCTTTATTACGTTGTCAGTCCATCTCGAACAAAGTAAAATAATATTTATAAATTTTGTATATAACTTTGTTATTCTTGTCTGGGGGTTTGATTATTTGTGAAAACTTAGTTTTAATCAGACCTTTGTGATTTATGTCTTATTACTCAAATAAAAAAAACCATCCTTAAATAAATAGAAATTTTTACAACTCCTCCTTCATATTTGCAAGAAAAAAAGATGATGACGCACCAAAAAAAAACAAACAAGCGAAGAATATCGTCTACAAAAAGAACTTGAAAAATTACGAAAAGCTGGTTCAACACCAGCTGAAGTTGATGAAGAAAGAAAATATACGACTGATGTGCCATGGTATGTTACATATGATACTCTTAATGAATGGTATGCTCATGGTCATACAGATAAAATTGTAACACGTTCTCGTCTAGGTGCTTGTGAAAATTGTGGTGCAATGACTTATAAACGTAAAGATTGTGTTAAACGTCCACCTCGTTTAGGTGCATATAAATTGGCATCAACAAAAAGTTCAAGATGAACAGAAACGTTTAGCTAGAGCAAAAAAATTAGATGAAGAAGCTGAAATAGCAAATAATACTGAAACTGAAGAACCAGTTGTAACTGTTGTAGCTAAACCAGCGTGGACTTTATGATAAAACAAAATCAACAAAAAAAAATAAACCTGATTCAGATGGTGATGATGAAGAATATGAAGAATACAAATATACAGATACAATGGAGGATGGGTGTGGATGTGGGTAAGAGAAGAACAAAACACCCACATCATATCACTGACTCGTTTTTGATCTCTAGTCGAAAATCAGTTCAAATTAGAGATACCCATCGTGGTTGATAACTCGCCGCTGCTAGATTACATGGAATATTAGATAATTAATCTGAGTTTCACGACTTTGATTATATTTGAATAGAACTATTGTTACTAATTGAAAATATCCGTCTATTTGTAAAGTTTTGCTTTTGCATATATTGAATTTAGAATCCAGTTTAGGTATCTTTTTGCTGCTCTTCTGAAAAATACATCGTAATGCGATGAACAATTCTGCTTTTTATATATCTGGTGAGTTTTTATTCGAAAATAGATCGAAATACTCAAAGAAGGAAGTTTTTCTCAAAAATACTTATTTTATAGAGAAACAAAAAAAGTTATTAAAAATGAGTCCTGACAAAGTAAATTATTTGACAGGTTAGAATAAAAATATATCAAACTAATTATGATTTATTGATTAACGTCAATCATTTATTGACAATGGTTTTTAATATCGTATTTTTATTGAAAACATGTCTGATGATTGACATCGATATTGATCAATTCTTCTCTCTCTTCACTAAAATCAAAGATTTTTCTATAAATTTAAAAAAAGGAAAAGGATCATTTCGAATTTAAATGTCATTCTATGCTTTGAAAAACAATGAAATTCACTGAAAAATATCAAATTAAATCATCAATTTTGTTCGTCAAACAAATCTGAAATCAATACTTTATCTTACCTACGACAAAATCTTCTCTAGAACACTATTTATTCTCTTTGTGTTATCTTGGAAGAAATGAATGAGAGAAAAAGAGAGAAAGAGATATATATATAATAGAGAGAGAATCTACAGCGAGTGTCATTTTATTTCATCGAAGACAAAGAAGAAGATTATTTTATTAGTTAACTAATTTATCGAAATATATCTTGTTCAATGATGTGGAATATCTACATATTTACCATTATTCTTCTGTTCCTTCTCAACAAAAAAATATCAGGTAAATACTTTTATTTATTACATATTGAAGATCAGCTATCGCACAAAAATGACATTATTCATTAGGGTTTTAGTTGAACAAAAGGGAGTCAAAGGATAGATTATAAAATTTGACAGAAATTTCTGCTATATATTCAAAAGTGATGGTTCACATCTCTTGCAGCAATTATGCGAGGCTTTTTCTTAGTTTGAAGAATGAGTGTAGTTTAAGTTTAAAAGTATAAGTTAGAATACTGATCGGTAGTATTGCATACATCTGAGTTTGTATCGATTCATAGTTTCAAAATGATTGAAAACTTGAATATCACTGGAATCTTCTCTCGATATCAAATTTATACGTGGATCTTGAGACAAAAATGGGATACAAGAGAAAGGAAAGAAATCTATTTGATCGTATCGCATTATAACATATGGAAAAAAGGATTAATTGAGTTTTACAGATGAAATGAAAATGAAAAAAGCAACGATTAATAGGTTAATGTAAACGAAAACAAAGTTTTATGAAATAATTTGACTATTTTGGTTTGAGATAAAATGTAGATCTATTATATAAAAATACTGTGGCTAGTAAAATAATTATATTGTGTTTGATGTACTCAAAGAGTTTGGTCTTGGTGGAAAACATCGAAAAGGAAAACATCCAAAAGGAAAACGTCGAAAGAGGAAAATATCGAAAGAAAAATGTGGACGAGGAAAACGTCGAAATGATTGATCATTTTTTTTATGTATGTTAAGTAGTATATTTATTAGGTTATAAGAAAAAAGATGAGAGAAAATTTATAATGTAATAAAATCTTATTTTTTTTTCTTTCCAATTAACAATGAGAAGCCTGTCAATAACTCGTTCGCGTTAATTTCCTTCTTGGAAAATCTGTTACATAGAGTATCAAATCGCGCCTGAAAAGCTTTTGTTTTTATTGATTGTTGTGGTGCAGATGCATCAGCAGCAAGTTGTAGTGAAATATGCTCAAAACGATTATGTTCACTTTGTATCAATTTAAGTTTGTTGCCATTTAAATTATAAGTATCTTTATAATATGAGAAAATTTTCTTTGTTAAACGAAAATTAGAATATACTAGTTTCAGGAGTGACCAATAAGAAGGAAAAAATTTATTTTTTTTGTACTGTAGTCTTTTAAAGTTTCGACGTTTTCCTTTTCTACATATTCCTTTCGACGTTTTCCTTTTCTACATATTCCTTTCGACGTTTTCCTCTTTTGTTTTTTTTTTCTAAATTTTTCTTTTTCGACGTTTTCCTTTTCGATGTTTTCCTACAACCCCAAGAGTTTTATGTATAAAAATAGAAGTGAGAGATATGAAGCCAATTGATCATCCACTTCTATATATATTACTTACCCTTATAGAAAATAAAAAGGATTTTAAACTTTTGAATTGTACAAAAGAAAAGAATCTTTTTTCTGGAACATATGAAATTATCTCCTAGAAATGAATCTGGTTGATCAATGGAATGATAAATATTCTTCATTGACACTTTGGAGACAGAATTACTTATGTGAAAATATTAACATTTAAGCTGGAGAAATGAATACATCTGCTAGAAAGAAAGAAAGAGCACAAATCATATGATGATGTAGAACTGCTTTGCAAGTGCAAATTCATGATTGACACTACCATTTTTATCACTACACTATTATAAGAGAATATTGCTAAGTGAGACAAGATTTGAATCAAAAGTCAAATACATAGAAGTTTTCTCATCTTTAAAAGGAATTGATGATTATTGAAAATTGTTTTCTGAAAATGTTCAAGTTGAAATAATGAGAGGAAAAAGAAAGAAGAGAAAAAGTTTGACTAAATCTAATTATTATTTGTCAAAAATTTAAAGGGAACTGATTTTGTTTTATTTGATGAGAATTTCAAAAGAAATAAAAATATATTACTGATAAGAAAAAAAGAATATTTTCATTTTATTTGTATCTCAAAATATTTTTCATAAATAATTTCTTTGAATGGCTATTTGATTAATTAAAGATTAGCAACAGAACTTTGTCATCTCTTTCACATATTAGATTCAATTGAAATGATTTAACATGAATAAATCCACAATGTTTTTCATATGAAAATGAGAATTGATTTTGAATTTCAAAAGTATTGTGTTAAAATATCAATCAATTTCAATAAACTCATTTTCATTCTGAATGATTCCTTTTTTCCCTTCTTCGAGCTCATTTTCGTTGAACAAATAAAAAAAAATTATTTGATTATTCTTTTGTCTTGAATGTCAATTAAATCTTTCCAAAGGATCGAACATAATTATTTTTCTTTTACAACAAAAAAAAATCAATAGATAAAGTTGATCCTCTTCCATGAACTCATCCCTCTCTTAGTTGATATTTAAAAATTATCCGAGAAAATACGAAAACAATCATAGGAATCTTTTCAAAATTAATCTCAATGAATTTTTCCAAGAAAAACATAAATTAACAATTTCATTTCTTTTACAGTTCTTCTCTAATGTTTTTCGTGTTTTTCTGGTTTTAGCTCTTTCATTCAATCAACCAAAGTTTTCTCCAACACCCATTTGGGATTCTAATGGAATTACCTTTGCTAATCGATCGATTGTTGGTCTATCTCCTATCGCCATTTTTGTGAACACAAACAACGCAATCTATGTCGCGAATCGAGAAAATAACACAATTGTAAAGTGGAAAAGAGAGAGTGTTAATCCAACGAAAATCATTCATGGCAATTTTACTCATCCCAGTTCTCTCTTCGTGACATCCAATGGTGATATTTATATTGATGATGGTGTTATCAATCGTCAGGTACAGAGATGGAGTGCAGAAACAAGCACCTTTGCCACGATGATGAATGTCAACTCATCATGTTTTGGTTTATTTGTCGATATCAATGATACTCTTTATTGTTCAATGTCTAGTCGTAATCAAGTAGTGAAAAGTTTACTGAATGCTCGTGTGATGGCTCCATATCGTGTTGCCGCTGGAACAGGTACTTTCGGATTAGCCTCGAATCAACTCGCACGCCCTCGTGGAATCTTTGTCGACGTGAATTTGGATTTATATGTCGCAGATTGTCTAAATAATCGAGTTCAGTTGTTTCAGTCAGGAGAATCAAACGGCATCACAGTAGCTGGAAGTACATCGGTAAATCCAACAATTGTACTTAAGTGTCCAAATGGAGTTATATTAGATGCTGAGAAATATTTATTCATTGTGGATCAAGGCAATAATCGTATTGTTGGTTCAGGCTCGAATGGTTTCCGATGTTTAGTTGGATGCTATGGAGAGGGTTCACAATCCAATCAATTGATATTTCCATTTAGTTTTAGTTTCGATCATTCTGGAAACATGCTTGTTACTGATCATGGAAATCATCGAATTCAAAAATTTTTATTGATGAAAGATTCTTTTGGTAAGTTGAAGAAAAATTAAATGACATGAAGAGATCTGAATAGATAAGTAACAGAAGTTAATAAAGACATTTCAATGTAAAAAACGAAAGAAAACAAAAATGGTTGAGAAAAACTAATTACACCAATGTGTACAAGAATGTGTCTAAGAAAATGAAATGTTCAGATTAGACGGAGTCATGTATCAATCGTGTAAGACAAATAATCTTCGTCTTTTTCTTGAGATTAAAGAATAGCGAAAGAAAAAGTTGTGCCCTTGATGGAGCGTTAGAAAGCGTTTTCATGTCTTATTTCATGTCTCAAAGAATATTTTATTAATGAAACAGTTTTTATCGAAATAAAATCTCTTCATATCTTTGTTGATATAATTTTAATATAAATTATTCTATGATTCAACTTCATATTTCATATTTCGATATGTTTGATTCACTAAAATTGGAAAAATAAAATATCACAATTCTAGCAACTAATTTTCACTCTTTTTTATTTAAAAGATGAATTTTCTCATAAAGAAATATTTGATTGATGATTTGTTCTTTGGATAGTTATCATAGTATTTAATTGCAGAAAATAATATTGAATAGTTGAAGGCAATCTATAATATGATATATGTTATTATTTCTATAATTGTAAACAAAGTATATCTTCTATGGAAGAAAAAAAAAGTTGTTTATTTGATTGAATAAATAAAATCTATTGACCTGATTTTGAATAAAAATAATTATTTATCTAATCAAATTCATTTATTTAAGATGAACAATAAGAGGAATTGATTTTTAATCAATTCTATTTTGGCTAACTCTTGAATGATAATTTCAGGCAAGTCAATTAACAAAGTTTTGTTTACATTTCTAAGCTTCAATGAAAAAAAGGTTTTCTGATTGATAAAAGATTTGTTAGTTTTATTAGTATTTAAATTTATTTTATTTTTTTAGAAGATGTATAGTTAATGATCGGCTTCATTTTAAGAGAATTATTTATTCTTTTCACATGAAAATAAGGATTTTCTTGTTTTGTTCTTTATTGCATAGAAAAAACGTTGAAATCTGTATAATACGATTAAGATTACAAAGAAAGATTTGTTTTATTCATATTGCAGAAAGACGAAATATTGTGATCTTTGATGAATTTTTGAAATTTCTATAGTTAAAAAATCTTCGAGCGAGAATGTGTATAAAGAATGTCTATATAGAGAAAAGAGGAATTTTTGCAGATCATAAAAAATTGTATTATTCTTTCATTTTTCTTTTTTTTTTCATTCAGTATTGATATGGCGTGTGGTGACATTATTTTGTTATTTTTTAATGAAATTTACTAAGATAAATCGAGTTATATTTTCAATAATATAGATAACTGAGAGAACATAGAGACATTTATCGTTTTCCTTTTATTTCTTCTCTAAATTAATTTTCAATGTTTATCAGAAAAAAGTTTGAGAAACTTTGAATAAATGGTTGAAAATTAAAATTTGTGTTTGAATAAATATTTCAAAAAAAAAGATCTGCAATGACATATTTGTAGAGCTATTTTTAAAAAAATCAGTTTCATAATTAAAATTCACTTGAGAAAGGCAAATTAGACGCTCAATATTGAAAGAAATAGATTGAATTCATAAAAATCTCTTCTAATCTATTGACCTTTCTGTCTTTAAATAGATAAATTCTTGTATTTCGTTGTTTTCTTTAATACGACTTATTCAGATTTTCCACCAGATTTTTCAAGAAAAAGTAATAAGAAAACTTTTTATCTAAAATGATCAACATCGATGTTCTAAATAAAAATATTTTAACAATATCACAATTCATATTTCATATAAAAATTAATGGTATGTTACCATTTACCCTAAATCTGGTACCCGGAATGCATCCCTAAATCAAATCCCT